ACCATTTCTGATGAAGGGTCTCGGCCCGAAACGTCAGCCTTTCTGCTCCTATGATGCTGTTTGGCCTGCTGTGTTCATCCAGCTCTGCACGTTGTTGTCTCTGCAAATAATTGCACCTTGTTCAACAATGGGTATTTGCCATTTTACAAATAATGTGTGTCTTTTAGCAGAATACACCAGTCACATACCAGAAATAGAGAATATACTAGGTGTTTAAAAATAAAGGAAAATAGTATTGGCAGGAAAAACTTAAGGAACTACAATCCAACAAAACTCCTGGACCTGGTGGTTTAAGATCTCAGATTTCTCAAAGCAATGGTAGCAGAGATAGTGGATGCTCTAGCTATTATTTTCTGGAATTCCCTTAATTCTGGAACGGTCCCAAGAGATTGGAAATCAGCAAGTGTAATTCCACTATTCCAGAAAGGATGGAGAAAGAAAATAGAGAGCTACAGGCCAGTTAGCCTGACATTAGTCAGGATAGTGCTGGAATGTATTAAGGACATCTTAACAAGATTATAGTATAATCAGACAAAGTTAACAAATTTATTAAAGATTTTTTGAGGACACAACCAATGGGATAGATAGAGTGGAATTAGCAGATACCTGGATTTTGAAAAAGAATTTGATAAAATTCCACACAAAAGGAAACATAAAGATTCATGGAGTTGAGGGCAATATATCAGCAGGGATAGAAAATCAGTTAACAGACAGATAAATGGGGCATTCTCAAGTTGACAGGCTGTGATCAGTGATGGTTCCCAGCTATTTATGGCCTGTATTAATGGTTTAGAAAGGTCAGCAAGTACTATAAAGTTGTCTAAATGTAGCTTGTGAGGAGGATATAGATGCTACAAAGAGGTACAGACAGGTGAAGAAAGTAGGCAACAAGATGGCAAAATGGAGTATAATGGAGAGGAGCAGAGCGAACCTTCACTGAATCCAGAAGAAGAGCTCCTAAGGAGATGTCAGGGTTCAAAACGTGATGCAGGACAGGAGGAAGCAGCTGATTGGGTGATTAAGGTTAGATTAAAATCTGTGAGGCCTACTGACTGGGAAACAAAGTTTTGCAGCGGAGCCTGTGGGGGAGGTGTCATAAAAATTAAAATAGACTTCATTCTTAACAGAAAGAAACAATTGAGGGTGATGGCACAGGGAAGCAGTGAAGTAAAAACCGAAAGAACTGTGGATGCTGTAAATCAGGAACAAAAACAAAGTTGCTGGAAAAGCTCAGCAGGTCTGGCAGCATCTGTGGAGGAGAAAACAGAGTTAACGTTTTGGGTCCGGTGACCCTTCCTCAGAAGCTGAGAAGTGATTGTTTGCTTAACAACCAGCTATAGGGACTGAGAGAATAATACCGGGAGGGAAACCAAGTGTGAAGTCCTTAATTTTTGTGGTTTGTAGTTTGTTAGGAATTGGAAGAAAGTGAATGGGAAATCTGATTAGGTGAGTAATTGATAAGGAACACAATGGCAAGAGAACTTGATCCCATGGAATGCTCCTCCTGCAATATGTGTGAAATCAGGGACATTTCCATTCTCCATGGTGACTACGTATGCAGGTAGTGGTGTTCAGCTGCAGCTCCTGATTTACCACACGGAGTGGCTAGAGCTGTGGATGGACTGACTATGGAACATCCATGAAGCTGAAAATGTTGTGGATAGTATGTTTAGTGAGCTGGTCACACCACAAGTAAGGGTTACACAGATAGAAAAGCATTGGGTGATGACCATCAAGGCCAGTAAGTGTGGGCAGGCAGTGCAGGAGTCCCCTGTGGCCAGCGCCCACTCAAACAGATGTAGTGTTTTGAATAAAAACCAAAAGAACTGCAGATGCTGTAAATCGGGAACAAAAACAAAGTTACTAGAAAAGCTCTGCAGGTCTGGCAGCATCTGTGAAGGAGAAAACAGAGTTAATGTTTCGGGTCCAGTAACCGAGAATGGATGTTTGTTCAAAGATGGCCACTCTCTAACCCCTAGTTAAGCTGATGGATAGTCATGTTTCAGAGATATGAAAGCAGTGTATAATTGGGATAGGGTCATAGGTAAACCTTGAAAACTGGTTAAAAACGTCACAGATCCAAGTGACAATGCCATTTTAAGTCCAATTTCCCCCTTTTAATGCATCTGTGCTTTTTATGTCAAATTTCTCATCCTAACCACCCTAACTAAGGTTTCTCTTGAAATCTTGACCGCATCTTCTATGCATCACCTTCCATTAGTGACTCCTAGATTTGACCTGTCCAATTACGTGAAGCGTTCTTCTCCCCATTAAAGTATCAGTTCACTCATCCATATGCAAGGCCTATCATATTTGCTAATAGCTTTCACTTTTCTGAAGAAAAGACCCCCCCACCCCCCCGGCCTTACCTGATAATTATTATGAATGAAATGTGTCTATGTAAATCCAGGGAATCCTGGTTTGATAAAGAAAACGAACAAAATACATGTTCATATGTACAGCACATTAAAAACTGGGGGTCCTTCAGGACCATAGACAGTGTACAGGAAATTTGGAGGGCAAAGAGGAGCCATGAAATGTCTTACACAGGATTAATGAAACCCCCAAGGTATTTTAAAAGTTTATTAAGTGCAAGATTACCAGGTAAAGAGTGGGTCTTATTAGAGACCTAAAGGACAACCTATTGTGGTTATCGGGACGTCGCTGAGATCTTAAATTAATACTTCTCATCTGTACTCACAAGGGAGAAACACATTGTAGCTAGAGATTTCAGTTGGTATGGTGAGGTTCTAGAACAGGTTAAGTTTAATAAGGAGAAGGAGGTTTTAGATCTTTTATCGGGCATAAAACTGATTACATGTATCCCAGACTGCTATGGGAGGCAAGAGGGGAGATTGCTGGAGCCCTGGCGGAAATATTTAATACTTAGCTAGCCACAGGTGACATGCCAGATGACTGGAGGATAGCTGACATGGTTCCTTTGTTCAAGAGGGGCAGCAGGGATAGGCCAGATAATTACAGACCAGTTAGTCTGACATCTTTGGCAGGGAACTTATTGGAAAAAACTCTGAGGGACAGGATTAATCAGCACTTGGAAAGGGAGGGATTGATCAGAGATAGACAGCATGTATTTGTTAGAGGGAGATCCTGTCCAGTGAATTGATAGTGTTTTTGTGACTAATTATATTGATGAGGGTTGTGCAGTTGTGTACATGGACTTCAGTAAAGCCTTTTGAAAGATCCCAAGTGGAAGACTGGTCCAAAAGGTAAGAGCCTATGGGATGCAGGATATGTTGGCAAATTGGATCCAAAATTGGCTTGCAGATAGGAGGCAAAGGATGATGGTGGAGGGTTGTTTTTATGATTGGAAGCCTGTGGTATATCACAGGGTTCTGCTGGGAACCTTGCTATTTGTAATGAACATTAACAACTTTGATATGAAAGCAGAAGGTATAATTAGTATGTTGCGATGACACAAGAATTGGTGGTGTTGTTGATTGTGAGGATTGTGCTACAGTCTGATATTAAGCAGCTGGTAAATTGGGTAGAGCAATGGCAAATGGAATTTAATCCTGATAAGTGTGAGGTGATACATTTTGGGAGGTCTCATAAGGGAAGGATATACACAATGAACAGTAGGTCCCTAAGGAGTACTGAGGAATGAAGGGACCTTGGTGTATAAGTTCACCAATCCCTGAAGTTGTCAGCAGAGGTAGACAGGCTGGTGAAGAAGGAGATGCTTGCCTTCATTAACCAGATGTAAAAGATAGGAGCAGGGAAGTCTTGTTGCAACTTTATAAAACATTGATTAGGCCACAGATGGAATACTATGTGTATTTCTGGGGGGTCATTGCACTATTGGGGAATGTGATTGCACTGGAGAGGGTG